ACAGTAAGGTCTGGAGTTCATGGGAACGTTCTTGGGACAGGCTGGGCCGAGGGGGAACCGCCTCTGGATGCCTTCCTATGGTACACTTTTCACTTGTTGGTGGGAGCCGCGTCCCCGGCCGTGCTTGACAGGACCATGGCGGCGATGGCCTTTTGGTTCAAGCTCCACGGGAGGGAGGACCATACCAAGGCTTTCGTCATCAGGCAAGCGCTCAAAGGGTATCGGAAGGGTCGGAGGGTTCCCGATGCTAGGTGCCCGGTGTCAGTGCGGGTGCTGGGGGATCTAATCCAAGTGTTACCGGAAATCTGTTTCAACGGGTTTGAGGTGTCTCTGTTCCGGGCAGCATTTCTTTTGGCCTTTTTTTCGGGGCTTTTAGGATTGGGGAATTGGTGAGTGACACGTGTTTGGCTCCGGGGGGTTTGCAGGTATCCGGGGTTCGTATACTTGAGGGGGGGTTGGTGGTGCACCTGGCCAGGTCCAAGACGGATGTTAAGGTGGTGGGCCGGGATGTGACCCTGGGTGCCCTGCCAGGTTCTGCATTGTGTCCAGTGGCCGCAGTAGCGCAGCACTTGAATTGGGCTCTTCGCTCTCTCGCTTCCAATTTACCAAGGTTTTCCGATCGGACCTGGGGAGGTTGGGGCTATGTGCGGGTAGCTAATGGACACATTCTTTCCGCATCGGGGTGGCCACGAAGGGCGCGCGCTTGGGTCTGTGGGATGAGTTAGTCAATAGGATCGGGAGATGGGCTTTCCGAAGGACCAGCTGGCAGTGCGATGGTTTGGGTACAGGGGGTTTTGCTGGGGGGACGTGTGCAGAGCGGTGTTTTGGATGGTAGCAGGCGGGGTGAGGCCGGATATGCTGGTCCTACATGCGGGGGGCAACGACTTAGGCCTCGTACCACAGCGGAGTTAGTAAAATGGATGAAGCAGGACCTCAACAAGCGGGGTGATGCTGGTATGGTCGGAGATTGTCCCGAGGAGACGGTGGCGGCATGCGCGGGACCCTGTGGCTATTGACAGATGCAGGGGTAAGGTAAATAGCTTGATGGCAAACTTCGTGAGGAAATTGGGGGGGGGTGATAGTGAGACATGGGGAATTGGAAGGCGGGTTGCCGGGGTATTACCACTCGGATGGCGTTCATCTTTCGGCAGTGGGTTGGGACCTGCTGAACTTGGGTTTGCAGGAGGGGATGCAGAGGGCACTCTTTCTCTGGGGTGGCGGGGCTCAGACAGCTTAAGGGGTCAAGGTCTGAGCTTGTGGCGGGATAGGGAGCTGAGGAAGAGGAAATAGGCTCCCCATGAGGAACGTGATGAACATGGAAATTTGAACCTGGTGGTTGTAGGGGTATCCGGGTATACCCCTGCCGTGGTTACTTATGGTTGGCACTTAAATTTGTTCATGTTGGAGTAAGGTTAAAAGTTGTTTTATATATATATATGTGTTAGTTATGTTGGGGTCATTGCCTTTTATATTAAAAGAAGGATATGGATGCAAGGGCGGAGTATGGGGGCAATGACCCATGTTAATATGTTAAAATATTATTATCATTATTATGATTGTTATTATTATTATTGGTATTATTATATTTGTTTAATTAAAGCTGTGGACAATTTGACCCATATACCCTAGTGTCAGCGTGTTATTGGGATAGGTATGTAGGGGGTTTTGTCCAAGGTTCCGACTGCCCATATGGCGACTATACACCAGTCATGTAGCCCCATGTAGCCGAATCGCAGCTTAGCGAATAAAGGGCTTTGACAGGGGTTAGGAGGCGGGCTTCGGAGGAAGCAGCTAGGACCGGTGGGTTGTGGGAATAGGGGTTTGGCTATTTAAATAGGTAGCCATTTTGGAATGAGCACTTTTAATCTCCTACCTGGTTGAGTTTGATCCAACCACCCTCCCTAAGATTTGGTTTTAAATGGGGGTTATCCCGTTTTGTCACAGCGGCGGGATAGGGAGCTGAGGAAGAGGAAATAGGCTCCCAATGAGGAACGTGATGAACATGGAAAATTGTGGTCACTGGTGGTTGGTAGGTTTCGAGTCCTGGAGGTGGCTCAGAACCTGGTGGGGTAGGGGTATCCGGGTATACCCTTGCCGTGGTTACTTATGGTTGGCACTTAAATTTGTTCATGTTGGAGTAAGGTTGAAAATTGTTATATATATATATATATATATATATATATATATGTGTGTAACGGATCGCCTGGCACCCCGACTGGGTACCTCCGTTGAAGGATGCTCCTAGCGCTTCCTGAGGACTCCAAGCACTCTGGCAGACACCACAATCACCGAACCGGAGAAACAAATAAATTCTCCCAAGCATATGAATGCTGTAGACAGTTGAATAGGAACCATACGAATAGGTTTACTCTCCTAGCAGTCAAACTGGAACAGCATACAATGAATCCTTCCCCCAATAATGAGACGACACTTCACTTTGAGGGTTAAAACAGGAACTCTCTGTACTGTCACATACAGTCTCTTTTATTCCCAATCCACAAACATAGTACAGCCCACAGGGCGTTACAAAACAACCAATCAATCCATACAATACACCCAGACACTCCCACACAAAATCCTCCCCTCTGCATGTGATATGATTACTGAACACAATGGGTAATCTCATTATCACCGGCAGAGGAATACAGTTTTTACACAATATTTATAACTTCTAAAATATACATGTCACAAACATAAAACATACATTTTCATAATCAATCCATTCAGGGGAACAACATATTAAAAAATGGCACGAATCAGACCAGGGGTTCAAAAGTTAAGGGAAAGTCCTTTGTGACTAAATGAAGCATGGCTTTCCGGCCCAAACCAGTTTCAGAGTCTTCTATCCTGGAGAGTAATTCAATTATCTCACAGGACAGACACAAGACTCCATTAAGCACATGGTTGCAAAAAGACACAAAACACTTTAAAATACATAAAGTCACTTTTTACACATAAGACACAGACATTTCACATATCCCCAGATAGCTGGGATCTGAGCGCACAAAACTACCGAATAGCGCTCAGATCCTATTCACACAGTTCAATTGCCATGGAGCCGAAGTCTTTAACTACACGAATGGGCTCCATGGCATAGCTATCTGGGTTAACACATTCACATAAAGTCTGGTCCATAGTCCAAAGGCAAGAGGCGGGCAAGCAGCCCCCTCCAAGGACACGTGGCGAGGCCGGTTTCGCCACATTTCTCCCCTTTACCATCCAGACTAACAGGGTATCTGACCTCCTGCCGGTCAATGCCCTGGTTAGTCCAGCAACCCACCCACGAAGCACAAACAGCAATACAGCCCACCCACAATAACTGGTTACTACACCTGGATAAAATAGCAACTTGTCCATGTCCAGGTGCCTCACCACGGCTGTGCGGGGGGCTGGTAGACTGCCTTGGTGGGTTGCTGAGTGGGCAGAGACCAGCGGTACTCTGCCCGGGTGCCAGCGCTACCACTGAAGTAGCCTGGTTGGAGCCTGGTTGTGGGAGGGGGAGACCGACTGTCTCCCCTCTGGATACACTGCTCTGTGGCTGGGGGACAGGACCGACTGTCCCTACCCCTGGTGCTGCAAGTGAAGAGACTACGGTCCCATCTGCATAGTTGTGGAGCTTAACATCTCCCCTTGGTGGGTTAGGCTGCCGCTGGAGAGAGGGTGTAACAAGCTCCTCTCTCTGAATTGTAGACTGCCGCTGGGGAGAGGGGGTAACCTGCTCCTCTCCCTGACACTCTCTTTGCTGGTGGAGAGGGGGACCAACTGTCTCTCCTTTCAATATTTTGTCCTGCTGCTGGGGAGAAAGACAGACTGTCTCCGCTTCCTGCAGGACACACTGCCGCTGGGGAGGAAGGACTGCACCTTCCGTTCCCTGGGAAACAGACTGCCGCTGGGGAGGAAGGACCGCACCTTCAGCGACCTGGGACTCACACTGCCGCTGGGGAGGAAGGACGACACCTTTGGCTCCCTGGGATACACACTGCCGCTGGGGAGGGGGGGTAACAAGCTCCTCTCCCATACATACTTTCAGCCGCTGGGGAGAGGGGATAACAAGCTCCTCTCACTGACACTCTCTCTGGTGTTGGAGGGGGAGACCGACTGTCTCCCCTTTCAATAATTTGTCCTGTTGCTGGGGAGAGGTGATAACCGGTTCCTCTCCCTGGAACACTCTCTGCTGTTGGAGAGGGGGACCAACTGTCTCCCCTTTTAATATATTGCCCTGCTGCTGGGGAGCGAGACCAACTGTCTCCGCTTCCTGCAGGACACACTGCCGCTGGGGAGGAAGTACAGCACCTTCAACTCCCTGGGATACATACTGCCGCTGGGGATCTGGGCTGACTGCCCAGCATCCCTGTAGGGCCTGTAGAGAGACCTCGGTCCCATCCCCACCTGCCAGCTGGGTGTCTTCCCAGGACAAGTCAATAAGGTCTTCCATCTGTGGGGCTGGTTGGGACATATGTGGTATAGTACCAAGGTCTCCTGATAACAGGCTTGGTTGCTGGGGAGGAGGAACTAAACTCAATGCTTCCGGTGGTATACAGTCAATAAGCCCCATCATGTCAGAGACAGGCGGCGTTATACGTTGGAATAGGCAAACATAATCCTGTTCTAGTTCCCACTCTCGGTTGGCAAGAAAAGATAGATCTGGCTGAATGGCATCGATCTCTGTAAGGTCCCAGTTGTCTGCCCGCTCAGCTCGAATGGACCAGAAGCGAGCAATGTCGGTGTCTCCGAACCAGAGACTAGTTTCAATAGTATCCCACAACAAACCAGGGCCATCATAGTCTTCCCCCTCAATACACTTGTACTCAATCAGCCATGGGTAGAGGTGGTAAACATGCCACCGCAGGGCCCGATAGGAATCATCCAGCCACACCTCAGTCTCAACTAGCGTCTCCAGTTCGCTTACCCATTCCTCTGAGGGCTGGTTTCCCAATAACGGCATCCGCAGCTCTAGTTGTTCTGCTTGGCGCTGGTTAGTGGTCAGGATTTCCTCGCACCGGAAGGGTCGAATTTCGTCGATGTCCTCCTTCCAGAGATCGGTACGAAGCGCCACCCTCCACTCTGTCTCTCTTTCCTCTGGGATAGGATACTCCATACTGCGCATCACATCCTGTAGTCGCTGCTGGAGCCTGGCGTCAAAGTGAGATACTGCACGGCCTTCCATCTCTGAAGTAGTGCTGGTTTTCCCAAATCTTTATGTAGACAGGGACGCTGTGTAACGGACCATTTTGCACAAAAGGGGTAAAAACCGTTTAGGCGATCGGCCCCCTTTCCAGAGATACAGGCACAGCTACTGCAGAACACCAGACTCCCGAACTCGATACAAAATAGCACTCCAACTCCTGAACTGGAACCTCCCAAATAGCTGCTAGCAGACGAACAGGAAAAGCAGACAATCAGCTTACACTCCTGGCAATCAGTCTCTAACAGCATACAGTGAATCCCCCCAAGAACGAGACAAGGCTCCGTGTTGGGGGTCAAGCAGTGGTCTGTTTAATGAGGGCTACCTGCCCAGTATTTATGCAGGTCTCCCACCTGGTGGACACTCCCCTAGGGGACCAAATGGGAGACTGTGACAAGGGACAGACAATTAGACAAATAGGACACACAGTCACAGTATATTCCCACAATGCATCCTGGCTTCCTCCCCTCTGCCCTGGGAGATAATTGGGAAGTAACTCAATTATCTCCCAAGACAAAGGCAAAACTCCATTACACATGTGGGGACACAAAACCAGTATTATACTTTAAAATACATAAAGTAACATTTACTACATAAAACACAGACATGTAACATATCCCCAGATAGCTCAGGTCTGAGTGCACATTATTAAGTGAATGGCACTCAGACCAGACGAATACAGTTTAATCGCCATGGAGCCAAAGTCTTTACAGTCAGTTTCATACGAATGGGCTCCATGGGATTCCTATCTGGGGTATAAGACATTCAAACAAAAATACCGAACACCGGGCCATTCGTGCACTTTCACCGAACAACAAGGGAGGTCGGCGGCTTCAGCGGTGTTCGCGCAAAACTGTGTCCGATTTTATTCCATGAAAATAGAGGCGAACACCGCTGTTCATTCGTATGGTTTAAAATGGCCGCGACCTCGTGTTCGGGATACGAATGGCGGCCACCCAGCATTCTTCAATTAAGCTGCGGTTAACCGCAGCTTCAGGGAGGTTAATTGCCGGCACACTCCAGCTCCCAGGTGGTCCAGTCATTCGTACGGTTGTTCGGTAGATTGAAACTACCGAACAACCGGCAGAAAAGCACGAATACAGCTTTTCTGCATGCAAAAATAAAGTCTTTTAAAAGGGGGCCATAGTCCAAAGGCAGCAGGCGAGCAACCAGGCTTCTCCAATGCAATGTGGCGAGATTGGTCTCGTCACACGCTGTATGAACACTAGCGTCGCCTTCAATTTGTAAATCCACGAACTGTGTCTCTGAGCTGCTTTACCTCGCACTAGAACGCCATCCCACCGCTTGCCACCAATGTAACGGATCGCCTGGCACCCCGACTGGGTACCTCCGTTGAAGGATGCTCCTAGCGCTTCCTGAGGACTCCAAGCACTCTGGCAGACACCACAATCACCGAACCGGAGAAACAAATAAATTCTCCCAAGCATATGAATGCTGTAGACAGTTGAATAGGAACCATACGAATAGGTTTACTCTCCTAGCAGTCAAACTGGAACAGCATACAATGAATCCTTCCCCCAATAATGAGACGACACTTCACTTTGAGGGTTAAAACAGGAACTCCCTGTACTGTCACATACAGTCTCTTTTATTCCCAATCCACAAACATAGTACAGCCCACAGGGCGTTACAAAACAACCAATCAATCCATACAATACACACAGACACTCCCACACAAAATCCTCCCCTCTGCATGTGATATGATTACTGAACACAATGGGTAATCTCATTATCACCGGCAGAGGAATACAGTTTTTACACAATATTTATAACTTCTAAAATATACATGTCACAAACATAAAACATACATTTTCATAATCAATCCATTCAGGGGAACAACATATTAAAAATGGCACGAATCAGACCAGGGGTTCAAAAGTTAAGGGAAAGTCCTTTGTGACTAAATGAAGCATGGCTTTCTGGCCCAAACCAGTTTCAGAGTCTTCTATCCTGGAGAGTAATTCAATTATCTCCCAGGACAGACACAAGACTCCATTAAGCACATGGTTGCAAAAAGACATAAAACACTTTAAAATACATAAAGTCACTTTTTACACATAACACACAGACATTTCACATATCCCCAGATAGCTGGGATCTGAGCGCACAAAACTACCGAATAGCGCTCAGATCCTATTCACACAGTTCAATTGCCATGGAGCCGAAGTCTTTAACTACACGAATGGGCTCCATGGCATAGCTATCTGGGTTAACACATTCACATAAAGTCTGGTCCATAGTCCAAAGGCAAGAGGCGGGCAAGCAGCCCCCTCCAAGGACACGTGGCGAGGCCGGTTTCGCCACAATATGTGTGTGTTAGTTATGTTGGGGTCATTGCCTTTTATATTAAAAGAAGGATACGGATGCGAGGGCGGAGTATGGGGGCAATGACCCATGTTTATATGTTAAATTATTATTATCATTATTATGATTGTTATTATTATTATTATCGTTATTATTATATTTGTTTAACCCCTTAAGACCGCAGCCAAATGTACAAGTTGTGATCCAAAACAAAATGTAAACAAACCACAGAATTTTACTATATTTCTGTTCAACAATAATTTACCTCTTTCATATTAAATGCACCCACACTTATTATATATAATTTTATTGAGGGGAAACAGGGCTTTTATTTAACATCAAATATTTAGGTATGGAACATAATTTAATATGAATTTTCTTAGTTCTACGTGACATTTTAACTTTAAATGTCATAATACTGTTTGCTTTTACTGCAATAAAATACACATATTTGTATTCAGCGATGTCTCACGTGTAAAACAGTACCCCCCTATGTACAGGTTTTATGGTGTTTTGGGAAGTCACTTTTCAGTTTTTTCCCATTGAAATTCGCCACATTGGTTATGTTGCCTTTGAGAGTGTATGGTAGCCCAGGAATGAGAATTACCCCCATGATGGCATACCATTTGCAATAGTAGACAACCCAAGTTATTACAAATGGGGTACGTCCAGTCTTTTTTAGTAGCCACTTGGTCACAAACACTAGCCAAAGTTAACATTAATATTTGTTTGTGTGAAAAATGCAAAAAACTCATTTGAACGCCAATTTTGGCCAGTGTTTGTGACTAAGTGGCTACTAAGAAAGACTGAACATACTCCATTTTCAATACCTTGGGTTGTCTACTTTTGCAAATGGTTTGCCATCATGGGTATAAGTCTTATTCCTGGGCTACCATACAGTCTCAAAGGCAACATAACCAATCTGGCAAATTTCAATGGGAAAAAAATGAAACCCAAGCCTTATATTTGACTCCGTAACTTTTGAAAACACCATAAAACCTGTACATGAGGGGTACTTTTATACTCAGGAGATTTTGCTGAACACAAATATTTGTGTTTCGAAACAGTATAACAGCAATAATGTCGTCAGTGTAAGTGACGTTTATGTGTGAAAAATGCAAGAAACTTCACTTTCACTGACGATATCATCATTGTAAAACATTTTACGGTTTTGAAACACAAATATTTGTATTCAGCGATGTCTCCCGAGTAAAACAGTACCCCCTATGTACAGGTTTTGCGGTGTCTTGGAAAGTTATAGGGTTAGTTATAATGCTAGCAAATTAAATTCCCTATACTTTCGGCCTGGGTTGTCAGGCAGGTCCCGCAAATTGTAATTAATAAAATGACCTAATTATGTTAAATTATTATATAAATATATATGTAAAATTATTTTATATATACGTGTGTATATATATGTATTTTAAAAAATTATATATAGATATACATAAAGTGATATATACGTATATACTTATGTATATAGATATATATATTATTTCGTTCTACGTGTATTTTGATATCAATATATATATTATCAAAATACAGTTAGAATGAAATTACACATATATATATATATATTTTAATTATTTATTTATTATTATTTTTTTATTTTTACTTTTTAACGTATTTACATATTTTTTTATTATATATAAATATAGATATATAATTATATATATATTTAATCAATATCCTTCTACGTGTATTTTGATATCAATATATATATTATCAAAATACAGTTAGAATGAAATTACACATATATATATTAATTATTTATTTATTATTATTTTTTATTTTTACTTTTTAACGTATTTACATATTTTTTTATTATATATAAATATATATATAATTATATAATAAAATAAGTGTATATATGGTGAAAAAAACAATATAAGACAAAGTGCTACAATCACCAGCAATGTGGGTCACTCCACCTCACATAAATAAATGGTTAAAACAGTAAAAAATGGTGAGCGCACAGAGAAACAATAATTACCCTTATATTCAATATAAAACCTGTAAAAACACAATGGGAAAAACAGGCATAGGGTAATAACGTACAAATAATATATGAATGAGTAAATACTTGAATAAACTCACATATTCATGAGCCACTTGATATGGAAGATGGCTCAGACTAGGAACATTGAATGGATTAGTGAGGTGGTCGTTGTAATCCAACTGCTTAATTGCTTGCTCCTTCTTGCTTTACAAAATCCAGGATGCAGGATCTTTAATGAAAACCTTTATTCGGTATAGCAGCAAAAAAAAGACAGCAGCAGTAAAAATTCAAATTCAGCAATTCCACCTCTGCACACTAACGCGTTTCAGCCAAAGCCTTTATCAAAGTGTGAGTCCATTCAGTCAGTTCCATTTTTAAATAGGCAAATTTTCGCGCCTTTTTTCGGAAATAAGCTCCTCCCCCTTCTTTTTTTTGTTGCAACTTTATTGGGCATCCTAGCATCCTTAACGATCTCAATTTACTTCCATGTTCATTGAAGAAAAGGAACAGCGAACTAGTCCATTCACTTAAACAGTCTTTCATGTTGCAATAATCAGAGTCCTATTAGCAACATACTTCATACATATTGTCAATAACATTAAAACAAATATTATAGTCAGATATTCTTATTGCAATACGTAGAATATTAGCAACAGTT